CCTGCTTGTGCCGATTTATCGAGATGATAGGAAGTTTCTCCGTTTTTGTTTTAAAAATCAGACTTTTCAATTTAGAGCCCTTCCTTTTGGTCTTGCTTCTGCACCGTATATTTTTACCAAAGTTTTAAAGCCAGTAGTTCATTATCTTAGAGAAAAGGGTTTTTTGTCGGTTGTTTATTTGGATGATTTTTTACTCATTACTTCTTCCCGCAAACAAGCGTTAGAGAACGTCGCCACAACTTCAAATCTTCTATCTTTGTTAGGTTTTATTATCAATAAAAGTAAGAGCGTTTTTTTTCCTTAGAGATCGCGTCGCTTTTTAGGCCTTAATTTTGATACGGATCGTTTTGCGATTTTTATTCCTGACGACAAAAGAGAGAAACTTCTTCACAGGACAATGGATTTTTTAGAGAAAAAATTGTACAAGATCCGCGATTTGGCAAGTCTTATCGGCTCCTTGATATCAGTATGTCCCGCTGTCCAATACGGGATTTTACATACTAAAACCCTAGAGAGGGAAAAGTTCTTAGCACTCTCAGCGGCAGAAGGAAATTTTGAGACCAGGATGGTCCTTCCCTCTATGATTCAAGAGGATTTGTTATGGTAGAAATCCGTGTTCGCGGACAGGTTTTAATATAACGCAATTAGATCAGGCCGCTTTGAGCTTGAGATTTTTTCAGATGCCTCACTATCAGGTTGGGGGGCTGCCTGTAACGATAATCGAACGCATGATTTCTGGTCAGAGGACGAAAAACGCAACCACATCAACTATTTGGAACTGTTGGCTGTCTTCTATGCTCTCAGATGTTTTGTTTCTCATTTGGAGAATTGTAATATCCTATTAACAGTGGATAATACTACTGGCAATACACCTTGTCCTACATCAATCGAATGGGATCGGTTAGATTCCCCCAATTATCCGACCTGACAAGACAGATCTGGTGCTGGTGCGCAGTCCGAAATCTTTTTATCTATGCAGCATATATCCCCTCGGCGCAAAATATCGTGGCCGATGCGGAATCTAGAATCGTTTCTGTAGAAACTGAGTAAACCTTAGAGCAGGCGTATTTCAATGAAATTTTTTCTGTTTTCGGTCTTTTCGAGATTGATTTATTCGCATCTTCGATCAACGCAAAGTGCACTCACTTTGTAGCATGGTTGCCAGATCCTCTGGCTTACGCAATAGACGCTTTTTCTCTAGACTGGAGTAAATTCTACTTCTACGCCTTTCCACCTTTTATATTAATTTTAAGAGTTCTTCGTAAAATAATTTCGGACAGGGCAGAGGGGGTAGTAGTGGTGCCATGGTGGCCAGCTCAACCTTGGTTTCAACTGTTTAACAAACTTAGCGTTTACCAACCGATTCGGTTTGAGCCGAATATTAAAATGCTTTCGTCTCCTTTTAGGAAGATACACCCCGCGTGGAACAGGATTTCCCTGGCAGCCGCGAAATTATCTGCCAAGCATTACTGTCAAGAGGAACTTCTGCAGCAGCGTTAGAAGTCACCCTCGCTTCGATTTCAAATGCAACTATCGCACAATATGCTAAACCTTTACGTCTGTGGTGGCACTTCTACAGGCAGAAGGAGATATCCTGTTTTTCTCCATCGGTATCGCAGGTTTTGGAGTTTTTATCCTCTCTGTTACCGAACGTTAGGTCTTACTCTACTTTAAATACCTATCGCTCAGCAGTTTCTCTTCTTTCACCTGACGAGGTGGGCTCCCACGCTCTGGTGAGAAGATTTTTGAAAGGGGTCGCAACTTTGAAGCCTCAGCGCCCGCGATACGATTTTATCTGGGATCCATCCCCAGTGTTAACTTACTTGGCAACCTTGTTTCCTCATGAGGGTTTAACTCTCGAGAAGGTGTCGGGCAAATTATATAGTGACTTTAATGGCTCTTACAACGGCCCAAAGGATGCAGACATTAGCGGCCATTCAAGTCTCCAATATTGTCCTGTCGGACATGTTAGTAATCAGGATTCCGGCTAGGTTAAAGACTTCAGAAATTGGACGATTCCAGCCTTTACTTACGTTCAAACCTTTTCCGGACAGACCTGAGCTCTGTGTCTTCTCCTTAGTAAGGTTCTATCTCGAGCTCACGCGCGAGCTTCGACAAGAAGGCTGCGGGGCGCTCTTTATCTCCCATCGTCCCCCACATAAAGCAGTATCTTCACAAACATTAGGGCGTTGGGTGAAATCCGAATTAGAGGCTGCAGGAGTTAATACGTCCGTTTTTCAGCCCTCTCCACATGACACGCCTCTGCTTCTTTCGCTGCAGGCAGGGGCATTAGTGTGGAGGAGATTCGTCGTACCGCGGGCTGGACCAGATCTTCTGAGGTCTTCGCCCGTTTTTATAACCGTCCCATAATAGAGACCGCCTCGCTTCAGACCGCGATTCTCAATAGTCTTTAGTTTTTAAGCGGTTATTCTTCTCTATTATTTTATTTGTGTTCAGTCTTTTTAGTTAAAATGTTTACAAGGTCATCAGAATATTAATTTTGTTCTCTGCTTATACACAGATGTCTAGATGATTTTAAGAATGTTCATCTACGCATGTATATGTATTTATGTATAGTTTGTTTTATACATATATAAATTTTCTCACAAATCTGACAATGAACGTTAAATATCTGCACTTATATATCCATCCGGACGAGACGGACATAATTGAATAGTTGAACAAACTTACCTAGTAAAGTTCGACTCCAATTATGCTCTTGTCTCGTCCGGATGGATAATCCCTCCCCCCTGGACCCTTCTGGTCAGATTTGTGAAGTTAAAAAATGAAGATCCAGGAAGGCGCATGTGCGACGGTGGCGCGTGGCGCGGCCCAGCGCGGCGTGAAAGTTTTTTCTTTAAATTGGCCTGTTGTGGATGACGCATGAAGTGCGACTGCACTTATATACACTTATATATCCATCCGGACGAGACAGGAGCATAATTGGAGTCAAACTTCACTAGGTAAGTTCGTTCAACTATTCAATTAAACCAGATTTTAAACAGTTGTAAACATATTCTCCATGAATAAAGGTAATTTTAATTTTAATTTTCAAAACTAATTTTACTCTATAAAACTTTTTAATTTCACAACTTTTAACTGTCGCTGTCAAACAGCGTGGCAACAATAATTTCCTGATATTCTTGTCGGTGCCAAAAAGTGTGGCAACAGGAGATTTCCTTCCTTTACCTGTCGCTGCCAAAGAGTGGCAATAGGATTTTTTTTAATCCTTATTCATGCCCAGAAAAGGGGGCAAAAGATTCCAACTTAAAAGAATTAAATATCAGATTAAACAAACTATACAAATCTTGAGATCCTTTTCCATTATTTCTCAAATTAAAGAAATTAGAAACTGAAAATCGAGATAATAAAACTCAAACCTTTATTCCATATAAATTAACCCCTTTGGATTTAATAGTAGATTTTCTAAATTTTAATTTAATAAACAAATCTGACCCTCGTTTTAAAACATACAACATTTGATATCTCTTCAGACTGGATTAATCACGCAACTTGGTCCAAATCCCGGATAAATTACTTAAATGTTTTGACCAAAAAACGGACGAATTAACTTAATTTTGACAGAACGTGACAACAGTATCTGATATATTATATTCAGTAGAACAAATTTATAATTTTTCTTGGTTGCAGTTCAAGATGTAATTGATAATGCGAACGTGGCCCAAAATTCGAAAGAAGTTTTAGTATAAAATTTTAAAAGATTACACACAATTAAAACAGACAACAGTTTGTGTTTTTGGTTAAAGCAGTCGAGAATAGGTACTCTGTATTTATTCTTTCTACTATTCTTTGCTTTAACAAAGATTATAGTTTTAAAATATATGATTGAATGAAGTTGTAAATAACATATGATCTAATAGTAATAAAAAGCAAAATATGTATTTATAAATTATTTATTTCTTTACTTACGGACATCGTGATATTTTAAGTATAACTTATAAACAAACGGAACATTAGCGACAATTTTTCTTCTGAGAATCTTTTTTACTAAACAAAATACACAAAATTTGAAAATTTCAAGGGAATCGGAGAAGGTGCCGTTATCCTTCCATCCATATTTACCTCAAGTTTTATTGAATTAGCAAATTAGGAATTAGTTACAAAAAATTATACTATTGTAATTACGCAAAAATTTATAATATTTAGGTAGAAATGAATTACGCATTACTTAAAAAAATTGGTAAAAAATTTCTAGTTACATAAAATTAGTATTTAGGCGAAAATGAATTAATTTCACCTAGATACTAATTTTCACGTACTAGAAATTTTTCTCTGACAAATTACCATTTTTTTAAAATAATGTGTAATTCACTTTTAATTAAATGTTATTAATTTTTATGTTAGTAATTTTTCTCCCGGCTGCTGCCAACCTTCGGTTGGCGAAGACGAGGGAGTATGCGTTTCACTGCGGCCGAACCTTTGTTACCTTAGTTCTCAATAACTACAACATACTTCGATATGTGCTTCCGTATATAAGTTTCTTATTGATCAAGCAAGGTTTATAGCGTATAATAATCATTAATCGTTGTGTTAAACAAAAAGCGAAAAAACGATATATTACATTTATATGTCCTCTTATTGGCTATCGACTGAGTTACAAAGGAAATTGATTAATCAATGATATGCATCCGCATGGGGAATTTTAGTCACTTCCTGTTACCTCTATTGAGCTCCGGCAGAACGTATGTACAGCTTTTCTGTTCATTGCTGCACGCTCATTGGATATCGCGCGACACTATCGCACTAGTCTGCTGGGGCCATATGTCATTTTGAAGTGGCGGGGGGGGTTTTATCAATTATATTCCTCGGGTGAGGAATTTAGGTGCCTTGTACTCTAAGGTAATCGACACATACGCTGTAGACCTAGATATTGCACGTAAAAAGACTTCGCGACAGACGCGCACACAGCCACACTCAAACAGGACTAGAAAAGATAGCGCCACTGGCGCAGTTTATTGATCCGCACTCCGTCCGATAACCTAAATAACCTTGCCTATTTTTCTGAGAAACTTAAAAACAACGTACAGGACGTCCCAGTTCTCAGAAATGATAATGTTCTTGAGATCTATCTCACGTGTATACTTTAGTTCTCTCAGTTCCTTGTCCATCTCACATCTATTGTCGTCGTAGAGTCTACATCTAAGTAAAACGTGATACAGATCCTCCCGCTCCGCACCACATTCACATCGCTCACTATCTATGTATCCCTTTCTTTTCAGGGATGAACCTAAATTGAAATGGCTCGCACGAAGCCTATTAAACATAGTCACAAAGTATCGTTCAACATTTATCTTTGAAAACCAGGGCTTAGGAGATCCATTGTAGAAATGCTGAAAATAGAAGGATCCCTTGAACTCCGATTCGCGCAATATCGTCTCTTGAGTCGCCTTCCAAGCATCCTGCTTGTCGATTCTTCTATAGTCGCCGACCGGGACCTCGATAGATGGATCGGCTTCTTCAGACGCGGCCTCCTTGGCCAGGTCGTCGGCCAGCTCGTTACCTTGAATCCCCTCATGTGCCGGGATCCACGCCAGGACAACTCTTTTGTCCCATCTAACCTCCAATTTATATATATGTCTTCTGGCTTCTGTGACATATCTATTCTTATGTACATTGATGTGGTTATTAAAAATAGCCTGCAATACAGAGCGACAGTCCGACAGGATAACAATGTCTCTTCCTCTTTCCTCGCGTTGAACGATCATCAGTTGCAGAGCCGCCCTCACCGCGAAGGCCTCCGCCGTAAAAGAGGAACAGGTCGGAGGCATGCTGATTTTGTAGGCCTCCTCCTGGTCCGAGATGATTATGCTGGCACCCGTGGATCTCGCCTCCTCACCGTACGATCCATCCGTGAATATGACCTCCGGAGAAATTAATTCATATTTGTCAGCAATCTTGCGAATCAGCTCGCAATCCGGGTATTTTCTGCTTTTTCTAGTCTTTCCAATATCAAGCTCAACCCGAGGGCGGAACGTGTGGGCATTATAAGGATCACAGAAGACCTCCCTCCTCACAGAGAATCCCATATTATTTCTAAATCTCAACGACCTCCAAACGTCCGATATCAGCGAGAACTTGTAAGTAGGCTGACGAAAGCGACAGAAGCACTCACAGTCGAAAGTCCGGCTGAGCCTCGCACATAGACCCTCGTTGCCCCACGCAATGGCCTTGGAAACAAAATTCTTCCCGAGCATCACCGCTCTATCCTGAAGTAGCGTTACCTTAGCTTCGGCCAGAAGAACATTGGTAGGGGTGCTATTCCTAAACCCAAGTGCCGTGCGGATCCCCATAAACTGAGTGCGCTCCATCTTCAGGCGGTAGGTCGCGTCCCTCGGGAAGTATATAAAAATACCATAGTCCACCACCGAGCGGACCAGGCTCTTGTATAGCATAAGAGCCGTGTTTACCTCCATGCCTTTGGACATTCGGCACAGGTATCGCATGATTGAGTTGGCTCGATTCACCTTTCCTCTGACAAGTTGAACCTGGTGGTGAAAGTTGAGACCATTATCGAGCCAGATCCCGAGAAATCTGGCACCACAGCTATTGTAAATTTTCACTTTGTCGAGTTCGATATACAGTTTCTCATCACAGTATCCAGACTTGTTGAATTCAACCAAGACGGTCTTGCTAGGCTCCAGGTCCAAGCCGATCCCCCGCAATGCCTCAGAGATGGCGTTGACCGCCCTCTCCAGGAGAGCCCGGTTACGCCCTCGGTTCTATCCGGACACATACAGGTCAATGTCGTCGGCGAACTCCACTATCTCCACTCCCTCCGGTAAAACGTCACGCAGCAGCTGAGTGAGCAAGGCATACAGCACCAGACTAAGGACGGCGCCCTGCGGGAGGCCCCTGTAAACATGTCGATCCACAAACTCACCAGGGTTTATAATAAATCGAACATTACGTCGGTATAGCCATTTCCTGACGAAATTGACGATACCAGCAGGACAGCCAAGCGCCACCATTCTGTCCAGCATGATCCCGAACTCCACACTGTCGTAAGCCGCAGAAACGTCCAGGAAGGCGGCCAGGGTATACTCCCCGGCGCACAGAGAAGCACGGATGTCCGATGTGATCTTGACCAAGTTGTCCGCACACGACTTGCCCCTCCTAAACCCGCTCTGAGAAGAGCTAAATTTGTCATTAGCCTCCGCCCACCAGATCAGTCGCTCGTTGATCATACGTTCCATGATTTTTCCCACACATGAAGAGAGGGAGATCGGGCGAACCTTCTCGCGGCCTACCTTATCAATGAAAACGACCTGGTACTGTAGCCAATCAGCGGGAATAACTCCCGTTCTCCAGACATGATTGTATATCTCCAGCAGACAGCATCTGCCCTCGTCCGAAAGAAGCTTCATCATCCTGTACTCCAATCCATCGCAGCCTGGGGCAGAATCCCTACGAATCATCTCGAGGGCTCTAGAGAGCTCCTCAGCAATGAATGGCGCGTCCAACTGCTCCTCTCCAGCGACATATTCCGCGCTCGGCGAAGGGTCGGCGCCCACGAAGGGGGGGGCCAAACAGTCAATTGTCCTCCTGATCTCCGCTTCCCTGT